TTCTCAAAATTATGAAGGCTTGATGATGTCTGTTCTTGAATTCTAAATGACTATCACTCTGATTCCATCACCCATCCATCAGAAATTCCCAGCTGACTTTTAAGAACTGTTTAATGTCCATCAATATGTGATTCAATTAAACGGGAAAAAAATGTAATGATGATTTTAACCACATGGGAACTGTTCATGAAAACTGAAATACTGTTATATTCCTCGAAATTAGTCTTTTGTTCCTGAACACGCTAAAGAAGAACAGATTATAAAACTCAGGTTCTGAGGAGAAGTGGAGAAGTCACCAAGATCCCACAGATGGTGTCCAAATAGACTCGGGAGAATATTTGGACTTTAAACGCAGGAAACCTTATGCTTAAGTCAAACTTATGAACTGAAGAATATATATCTGTCAGGAAAAAGAAAGTTGTGCGATATTATAGGTACCTATTTTTTCTGAAAAGCTGTTATTCAGTTTATGGTGTATTTAGCAACTTACGTTGTCTGCTGTCAAGGAAATGCAGCATTATCAACAAGAAAAGACATATGATGAGAGAAGAAAGAGATAAATCCCCATATCTCCTAATCTTAGCTCTAGAGGAGACAATTTCTTCAGTTTATTTATTTATTTATTTATTTGCTTTTTTTTAGTTTTGTTATTATTAATATATTTCATCAAATCTGATAACTTTGCTGAAAAACACACAACGGTTTTAATAGTCACTAAGGAAGAAAACTTACCAATTAAACTGATAAAAACGCCTTCCTATCAGATTTTTTTGTTTTATACTTATTGAAATTATTTTTAAAACTTATTTTTCCAGACTCCTATGTATCCAAAACAATGAAAATGTTAGCTAAAATGCTAGCATTTTAAGCATTGCTTCACATGCTTAATATGCAGTTAAGATACTACAAAAAAAAAAAAAAATCTTCATAGAAAGAACCCAAAAGGACTTTCAAGCTCGTCATGAGAACATCATACCTGGGTAATGTGGAAAACAACCAATAAGGATTGGAGAAAATCCCTCATGAGTCAGCATCAAAGGCTGCAAGAGTGAGGGGCGGATGGGGTGCTTGCTTCACAAGCAGGAAGAGGCAGGGTTCATTGACACAAAAACTGTCCAGGGCCTCCACAGTCAGGAAATATCATTCATCCCCCCACCAGTCTGCGAGCTTAAGGACATTCAGACCTTCTCTCACAAAAGCCATCCCACAACCCGGAATATCAGACCTATGACAGTGATTTTACAAAAATAATATTTATTGAGTTTTGTGGTGTTTTCTTCTGGTTTTGAAAGGTATTCTTGTTTATTGTAAAGAATCCAGAAAAACAAAAACAAAATGTAAATTAAAAAATAAGTGTCCCAGAATTTCATCATTGATAGCAATTTGATATATATCTTTCCAGTCTTCTCCCTGAGTGTTAATTAGGATAATATTGATTATGCAATGCTGTTTGTTATCATTTTCACTTAATATTTCCCAAAGCCAATATATATTCTGAAAAAAATTCTAAGAAAAAAATCCAGCAGGAATCACTTTTATACACAAAGTCATTAATGATATGCCTTGAAATTAGTCTTTCTATGTTTTTCTAAATAGTCTATGTTTTTCCGTACTATTTTATTGAAAGGTAATACATACCTTGCATATACTGCGATAGAATACTCCGTTACTGACTATGGAATTTTCTTCCAAAGGACTGACACCAGTTGCTAAGTGTTGATATTGGTACTTCCTTGATATTTTCAGACAATATCAGGACACACATTCCTTTCTCAAATGTTCTAACTTGGTTTGCTATCTCCAATATCAAGGAGTTATTGATGTCCAGTCATGAATATATCAAATTTATACCCCCATTCTGTTTCTGTGTTGCTGCACACACAGCAATTTTTCCTTTCAATACATAATCTTGGTGCAGTCTTTTTGAAAAAAAAAAAAAAGTGTGGGAATTAAACTCAGCACTCGTAATAGCACACAACTCAATGGGCACGATAACAATGTAAATAGCCAAGACAAGTATGCACAGCCTGGGGAATGACAACGATATCATAGCTATCACCTGAGAAATTGTAATACAATGCCTTTAATGATAAGATATGTCCTAATTTCAGTTTGTGAAAAATGCTGTCTTAAAAATAAATGATCATCAATTTATAAGGAAATATAAAGGACTTGATGAATGAACACCACAGGGATCCAATTGGCAAAACCCAGACTACAGGAAATTGCAGGTCAAACAAGCTGGCTTCTTCAACAAGTAAATTGCAAGAGAGAAGAGAGAAACAATAGATTAAAAGAGACTTACCATATATTTTTAGAACATAATCAATTTCAATGCATTATTATATTCATCAGACAACTGAAAACTTGAACATTGGATATTTGAGAATATTTTATATATATTTGGTTATGTATTTTTTGAAGGAGCCCTTATCTTTTGGGCTGTATGTTGAAATATTTACAGAAGAAATGACATGAAATCTGGGATTTTTAAAAAAATAATGTTGGAGGGTAGAGATGAAGAGAGGCATGGCAGGCAGACTTCGGACGTGGCCTCCAAGGATTTCTGCCTCCTGGCATGTTATCCCCTCCCCGTGGGTGTGGGCTGGACCTAGTGACTTTTCTCTAAGGAATAGATATGGCAAGGATGATTGGGGTACCTCTTTCATTAGACTGAATCTTCCCTTCTTGCTCACTGCCCGTTGCCCCTTTCTTGCTGGCTCTCTGATGAAGTAAACTCCATATTGTGAGATGCTTTCTACAGAGCTGCCCACGTGAAAAGGAATAGAGGGAGGCCTAGAGCCAACAACTCATGAGGAACTAAATCAGGCCTGGGAAATGGATCCTTTCCAGTGGAGTCTTTTTTTTTTTTTTTTTTTTTTTTTTAGAAACAGGGTCTCGTTATATTTCCCGGGCAGGTCTCGAACTCCTGGGCTCAAGCTATCCTCCTGCTCGGCCTCCCTAAGAGCTGGGATTACAGGCGTGAGCCACAGCACCTGGCTCCAGGTGAGTCTTGAGATATTGCAGCCTGTGAGAGACCCACAGCCAGAAGACCTGAATAAGCCCAAGGCAGAGAGCGAATCCACAGAAACTGTGAAATAATAGATGCATTTTGTTTTAAGTTGCTACAAAATGGGATGACTCATTTCAGCTAAATAATACAGTCTGAGACGAGGCCAGGGTTTGATGGCTATTGGGGCTGAGTGACAAGCATATGTTCATTTACTATTCTACTTTTGCATATGTTTGAAATTCTCCATGATAAAGAGTTGTTGAAAAGGAATCGTGAAATGTGGCATTAACAATTCACCATTCTATCTTCCATTTAATGGCAGTATAGTTTTTTTCCATATAGCTAAGTTTTGTCTGTCTCTTCTGTTTTGATGTGTTTTCTACTCTGATTTGACCAACTGAGCTCTGTTGAGTAGACACTCAACAAATGACAGTATACGTTCGCTGAGTGTCTACTAACTACTAAGAAAGAAATGGGTTAATGCACAGATTAAAATAAAAACTAAGAGAAAAGGCTCTTCTACTTTTATATTCAATTTGGGGAACTGTAGCAGGATAAATGGAAATAAACAGAAGGGAGGATTTTAAAAATATATAATTAACGGAGGAAAGGAAGTCTGGCATTGGACTATGGACAGATGAAGGCAAATTTGTTAGTTCATTTTCCAGGCTGTGTATTAATCGGCAGCTCTGTTTTCATTTAGTTTTGTTTTGCTTAATCTTTTTGACTCTTGACCATGTCACTAGTTTTTAAACCTCCACCAGCAGAACAAGAGAGAAAAAAAATGTAATGCAGTAGTCAAATATTTCTCCTTGTCACCACATGTAGAAAATGTCAAAGATGATGGAAACAAATAGCAAAATTAAACACTGAGTTAATTAATGCAAAGTGAATATTGAGTGGGGATTTGGATTCCTAGTGAGCATGTAGCTTGCCGATACATTATAGGTCTAAGTTTATAAGGTCACGGCTCGTTAAAATTTAACAAGTGTTTTAGAAGAGATATAAAATGTTTTTTATCAAACCCACACGTAATTTTCTTATCTTCTTTTGACAGGGATAATTTTAAATTAGCTATTTGCCACTTTGTTCTCATAAAACGATTATAGGATGTGACTCATTGAGGCCTAAATTATGTGAAGGTGCTAGAAAGAAATCTGCTGAACGTCGGCTGTTGAGGACCAGTAACCGTTCAGACCCCAGGAGCAGGCGTCCTTCCACTGTGATTCAGTGCTGGACTTCAGCATCCAGGCTCTGGGTAAAACCACTGCCACCTACAAAGGGTCTAGCTTGGGAAAGCAGTTTAAATGCTCCAGACTTCAGTGTACTCATCTGATAAGCAAGTATGGCCATAATATAGTTAACCTCTACATCTGTAGTAAGGAGCAAGTGAAATAACACCCATAGATGACTTAGCACACGGCTCAGTTGCTCAATAAATGAGAACTAATATTGTAGCTATTACCAAAACAGACGATCTTGCGTCCTTGGGCCCCCAAACTCATAAGCATAGGATGTATGAATGTGAATTGTGGTGTAGAGTGCAATAAACATCTTCCTCCTTTTCAGTTGATATTTTGATGTTAAAACAGGAGGTAAAGTTGGGAGGATGAGTTTGTGCATATAATTTGCTTCTTTATGATATTTTAATGTAATATCTTTCCAGGATCTTAGTATGCCTATAACTCAGTGGTTCTCCACTGAGGGCAATTTTGCCTCACACTGGGCCCCAGGGGACATTTGGGATATTAAATTTGGGACATGTGGAGATATTTTAATGGTCATGACTGGGGAGGTGCCAAAGATCCTAAAATGCATAGGACTGCCCCCAATAACAAAGAGTTAACTGATCCCAAATGTCAAGAGTGCCAAGGCTAAGAAATCCTGCCCTAGTTGCTACGGCCAAGGACAGAATTATTTTAGTTAGTTTTTAAATGTTCTGGGCAAGCATTTAACAACAGCTAAGACTGCTTTTAAACTCTCTTACTTTCAGCCAGTGGAATTACTCATGATCTTTTAATTACACTGACCAAGACTTCAGAGGGCCTCTTTCTGGTGCTGTTAGCCAAAGCAGACTTTACTGTGAGAAGAAACAGGGAAAGAATAGACATGCCATGAGTGAAGAAAAGCCTCTCATTATTCCTCAGCATTGTGGCCTGGGAAAACAGATGCATATTGCACCCTCTCTATAATAAACGTGTAGCATTTAACTACAAATGATGTGCTATTTTATACCTTCCAGTGCCTAGAGCTTGTGGTCCACATGACCCAACACCACTGAAAACGAAGGGTGGGCAGGAGAAGGTGGGAATTGAGCGCCACTGAGATCTCTTCAGTAGCTCTGATCTTCCAGCCCATCTTCCTCTCCACTCCAACCAAAACACTTCTAACAGTCTTTATGGGTGTTTTTACACTAAAACCAACAACAGATCCCCACCACCATCAGCTTCCACAGCATTGCACAACACCTATTATTTGAAGAGCTTGAAACCAGAAGCCCTGTTTTTCCACACTGAAAATATTTGAATGGGCTGTCAAAAAGCCTCTCAGAAATACGCCCCATCCAACAGCAACAAACCCTGTGCAAACAAATCAAGTGGTGCAGAAATCCTTTGCACAAGATGATAGGGAGGCCTCCATGCTGACACTGTAGGCGAGCCAAGTTTTCATGTACTTGGATGGCTGACCTCCAACTTCTGACATATTCATTATATTCCAGCATGTCGGCTGCAGATTGCATTGAAGTGATGACAGCTACAAGACAGCCAACGAGGAATATGGCCATTCTGGCAACAGGTGGCCTTTCACTTGTACTGGGAAAGTTAATCTAGTTTATCATCAAAGTATATTGTGTTCAAGGAGTGTCATGTTTTGAGAGCTCTAGTGACAGGTCAAATAGAGAAAGCATTCTTCCGTGGAACGTGACATTTTGGGGAGACCAACCCTTTCAAACTACTTCATTGTTTATGCTTGATTCAAGTCTGTTAAGTTACTCAGTTGTTTCAAGGTTTACATTACAGGTTCTGAATTATGGTTTGTGTCTTCTGTCAAAGGCTGACAGAGGTATCCACAGTCTTACCTTAAATAATCAACTGCCTCTGCAGCAAGGAATTTTTAATGGCCCTAATTTGTCAGCAGAATAACACATTGAAGAAAAGCCCAGCAGCAAAAGTATATTCATATACATGCAAACTGACTATCACATTTCCAGTCAAATTTTCAAATTTTAGATGCTCAAAACTGGCTCTGCCTCCTGCCAATCAAAATACAATTTTAAAGTAATCGATGAAGGTTACATGGACCTAGAGGGTGGAATAATAGGCATTGGAGGCTTGGAAGAGTGAGATGGTGAGACGGTGGGGGTAAGGGATGAAATATTAGCATTGGGTACAATGTACACTATTCTGGCTAAAAGCCCAGACTTCACCACTATGCAATAGATCCATGTGACAAAACTGCACTTTTACTCCCTAAATCTATCATTAAAATAAATAAATAATAATCCATGAAGGTTCATAATGGAGGAACAGTGACCCCTGGACTGGACTGCCTTCTCTTTGGGTTTAACCTTAGAATATGGCAAGAAATCTCTTCACAACCTTGCCCACATCCCACTAAAGCCTGAAATAAATCGTGCTAAATGGTAGTATTTATTCAGTCATCTGATTCCATGGCTACCTTCCAAGTAGGATGATTATGTTCTGCTGCACTTTGGACCTCATCTGAAGAACTCTTAAGATATCTAAAACATAGGGAAATAATCCAAAGGCTCCTTTGACTTGTGAAAAATAATTTTTCTTTGCTTGAAAGTCTTCTATTGTGTCATACTTTATGAAGAGTCTTAGGGTAGGAAGAATGGAATCGCATTGTTTATATTCTGATTTCTATGTGAACTCCTTTTTCCCCAGGGACAGTCCAAGACATGGACTCTCTAAAAGCAAATTCATATCTCTAATCCACAACTTCCTTTCTGTACTTCAAAGGTTGGCAATACTCCCATAAACATACAGAGAGAAGGCCACCTATTCATACTTCTCTCCTATTCTTGGGCTCTACTGAAGAATCTAAGAGGAGGCATCAGCTGACTCATCTCAGATGTTGATGATTCTGAAGCAGTAACCTCAAACCCTGCCAGTACTACAAGTGATTCCTTGGATATTGGTCAAGTTGAGGACCCTTCAGGCTAACAATCTCAGATTTTGCAGTTCTGCTGGTTACCGAACACTTCAGAGAAAAAGAAATATCGGCACATGTAAAAAGATGGAGTGACATGATGTAGTTTGTTTTGTAATCACACCATTCACTGTTTGTTTTAAAAATGTATCAAGCATTTCATTTCATTCAAACAATCACCCAGATAGCAATTAGTAGACATTGTTCTCAGTACTATCTATTTATACATATATATATGCATATATATGTATTAATTCTCATAAAAATGTCATGAGATAACATTATTATTGTATCCTTTTTGCAAATGAGAACACTGAGGCACAAGAGGTTATGCCTTTCCAAGGCCACAGGATGAGTAAGTGGCAGGCCAAGTTTGAACCAACAGCCCTTACACCAGAGTCCACAATATTAACTATCGTGTTTCGCTATGTACACCAATAGCATAACAATAATATTAATAATATCTAAAATTAAATGATCCAGGCTAGCCACCATGCATAGTATATTTTATCCTTACCACAATCCAATGAGGAAGGTATAATTATTATTCCATTTTATACGTGAGGATTAGGGAGAGATTCAATAATTTGTCCAAAAATTCACAACCAGCAAATGGTGGAGCTTCGGCTGAATATTGTGGAGATAAAGAGATGAAACAAAAAAATTATTCTGTTTGAGTTTGTAATCGTTTATAAAAGGAGATATTTGTTGGTCTAGAAGCATTGGGAACATTTTTAGAAGTGTGATTTTCACTATCCCTAGAAATGGAAAGTGAAACTGAAATTTTGCTTTTCTGGCCTTCCTCAGATATTATGTCTTATTCCTAAAGGATTTGGAGATTTAGTTGTTACTCTGCTAAGTTAATAAGACCCTGAATCTTTAAAAATATCCAAAGCTAATTTACTCATTATAGGAAACTCAAAAAATTGAATCCTTTCACAAAGGTAAAATTATATTTCCTTTAAGAAGTGTTTATCATTCCTTTTTTGAAAGAAAAATAATTAGATATGTAAGACATATACTTTAGAAAATACAATAAAAAATAAGTAATACTAGCAAATGTCATTATTTCATCAGGAAAAATATAAGCCTCTTAGAAAAAAAATAACACAAATTTTAAAATTATCAATAAAATATTAAGTGTAAAGGCTATACATATGCTTAACTATCAAACAAGCATTTAAAATTGTGTTTATGAAGATCTTTATAAACTTAGGGTAATATGCATTTATGTTAAAGAAAAAAGTAGCCTAAAGCTCTGTACACAGCATATAATTAAATTCTTTTAAGAATCCATTCATTTAGTAATTTTTATGCATAGAAAGCTTCTGTGGGAACTGTTAACACCACGCACCAAAGGATACCCCTAAGTGTTAGAAGTGGAATACCCACTGAACAAAGGATACCCACCGACTTAGAAGAGTGCTTATTTTCTTCTTTATATTCTTTTTATTTTTCAATTTCTTACAATTACTTATTAGTTTTATAGTCCGAAAAAAAATAACCCTAATCAGAAAACTGTAGAATAAGTATTTCAATTTGCATAGGCCCTGATTCCAGGCTGTCTGCTTGAACGTTGCACCTTCTCAGCCCAGGCCCTGGGAATACTGGAGACAGATTCCTAAACTGGACTGAAACTACCTAGAGAGGGATCAAACACATGAAGCCAATCAATGGATGTTTCGAGGTCATATGTGGAAACACAATAGTATCTATCCTATGGGGTATGAAGAGGCAAGTCCAAAGCCAGGAAGATCAGAAGCAGAAGAGGAGAGCTGGAGCCAAGCTGGGTAAGTTCAGAAAGAGGACAAGGCATCACAGAAAGCTACAGGGCTTCACTTTGTGCATTGTTGGTGCACATTTCTAAAATGATCACAGTAGCTTAAGGGAGCTATGTAAGTAAGGACCAGCTCATGGCTAGTTTTCTAACACAACTACGTGTGCCAGTTACACACCAGGGAAGGATAAGTTCTTGACACCTAGAGCAGAATCACCCAAAGAGGCCTCTATTTTCTGCCATATCTTTGAATTCAGAACAGTTCTAGCATTCCAAGAACCATCCAGACACTCAAGCCTAAACCGAACAAGGTTGGCAGGTCCAACAACCATAGCTACTTTCAAAAAGGTAAAATGATGTGGATTTTAGGACAAGTTTAAAAAGAAAAAAAAAAAAAAATCTTAAGAGATTTACAGATTCCAAGAAATGAATCACCCTGAAGTGAATTGCCCAAGTTACAGGGATCTCTGAGACATTCCTGAAGAGAGCCAAAATTAGCCTTGTTCAAGGAAACTCCTAATCACGAACCAGGCGAGATGGAAAGCCTCTCCTACCCCCAGATATAACCAAAGACAGCGAGCTTGTTCAAATATAGCTACAGTCAGTGATATTTCATTTCACTAAAGTCCTTTTCTTTCTAGCCTGCTATCTTCCTTTTAATTATCCCTTGGTTCTCTTTTGTTGTTGATTTATTCCTTGATTTTGTTGTGGTTAAAGTATGTGGTCTGTAGAATACCAGCTCTTTGAAATTTGTTGAGTTTTGTTTTCTGGTCCAGTACCTGGACAGTTTTTGTAAATCTTGTATGCATGTTTAAAAAGGTACCTTGGCTTGCAGGAGTCTATATATCCATTAAATAAAACTTCTTAATGGCACTGTTTAAATCTTTTTTTTCCTTTCTTTTTTTTTTTTTTTTTTTTTTTTTTTTTGAAACAAAGTCTCACTCTGTTGCCCTGGCTGGAGTGCAGTGTGTGCAATCTTGACTCACTGCAACCTCTGCCTCCCAGGTTCAAGCGATTCCTATGCCTTAGTCTCCCAAGTAGCTGGGACTACAGGCACAGGCCACCCCACCCAGCTAATTTTCTTGGTATTATTAGTAGAGATGGGGTTTTACTATGTTGGCCAGGCTGGT